CTTGAGCCACAGCTCTACTTTGTGTTTTGCTGGTTAATTAAAGAGTTTAACAAACTTGGCTGCTTCAGCTAGCTTTGAACTTGGATCCTCAGATCTCAGCCTCCTGAGTGGCTATGTTTACAGCTGTGAGTCTCCAGCACCCAGCCTTCCAGTATTTTTAAAATGTGTTGCTTTGAACATGAATATGCATTATAATATGAAGTTAATCTCTACAATAAAATGCCATAATATGAAATAAATAAATATTATATAGTTTATTAAAATATAATATGAAATATACTATCTACTCTGCCATCATCGTCCTAGCTGATATATACTCTTTCCCTTTATGTAAGGAAAGGGTAAGTGGCTCTTACCTGTTAAAGTTTAATTAGATCTTCTTTTACAGATAAGTAATTTTAAACTGGCTTGAGACTAATTTTTTTTCCTATTGATGTTTACTTACTTTAATTGAAGTGCTAAAACATAATGCAAAAGATAATATAGTATTAAATCATTTAACTTTTTTGTACATCCTTCTATACAAATAATGTTTTGCTTTGAGAGGGTTTTTTGGCACTTTTCATAGCTAACAATGGGTTTTTATAAATAAGTTATGGTTCATTTGTCTCTCTTAAAGAACTATTTCTTTCTCTCTGTCCCCACCTCTACACATACACACCTTCTCACATCGAAACTAGCTCTTATTTTACTTACCTCTGATTTACCTTTTGTAGGGATTTGAAACCAGACAATATGCTTATTTCCAATGAGGGTCATATTAAGCTGACAGATTTTGGCCTCTCCAAAGTCACTTTGAATAGAGGTAAGGAAAACAGTAGACAATTTTCTTTTAAAATGTGGTGATTATTTATCTCAAAAGATACTAGAAATATGTAATGATGGGGGGGTTGGCATTCTCTGATAAACAAGAAACATGGTGGAAGGAGTTTTAGCTGTAAAGGGTAGCATGTGGGTTTAGCATGCATAAAGTCCTGCGTTCTATCTCCAGCACCAAAAATAACAAAAAGAGAAATGAGAATCATTAGTTTTTGGTCTTTAAAACATATATTCAACATGAATCTCACACCTCCTGTTTTCCTGACTTTTATCCCTACTGAAATTTGTTCTTAATAATTAAGCATAAGCAAAATAACTACAATATGATAGAGTTAATAGATAAAAATGAATTCATATATATATACTATCAACACCTTAGAAAACAAAGAGTCAAAGAAAGGGAACACATAATTCACACACGTTCACAAATGAGAATAAGTTCATTTAAGAAATATGCCAAAAAGAATAAATGAACAGTTATACACTATTAAGTATATCAAAAAGGTATACTGATCTAGTAAATGAGATTCAAAAAATACATACTGAAGTTTTTCTTGAGGGATTATAAATTAGTTAAATGATTGCTCAAGAAAATCTGCCATGGAGCCGGGCGCTGGTGGCTCACGCCTGTAATCCTAGCTACTTAGGAGGCTGAGATCTGAGGATCACGGTTCAAAGCCAGCCCGGGCAGGAAAGACCGCGAGACTCCTATCTCCAATAAACCACCAGAAAACTGGAAGTGGCGCTATAGCTCAAGTGGTAGGGCACTAGCCTTGGGCTGAAGAGCTGAGGGACAGTGCCCAGGCTCAGAGTTCAGCCCCTATGACTCACAGGAAAAAAAAAATCTGCCATGCCAGGTGCTGATGGGGTGGCTCTCACCTATAATCCTAGCTACTCAGGTGGCTAAGGTCTGAGGATTGTGGGTTGAAGCCAACCCAGGCAGAAAAGTCCTCAGGAGACATTTATCTCTAATAAACTACTCAGAAAAGCCAGAAGTGTTCCTGTGGCTCAAGTGGTAGAGCACTAGCCTTGAGCCCAAAGAGGCCCAGCTGGGGACAGCACCCAAACTGAGTTCAACTCCCGAGGACCAGGAAAAGAAAAATCTGCCAATACTTTTTTGTTGGTGGTGGTTGTGGGGCTTAACCTCAGTGCCTGGGCACTGTCCCTGAGCTCTTTTTACTAGACTAGTGCTTTACCACCTTGATCCACAGCACCACTTCTGGTTTTTGAGTGGCTAATTGGAGATAAGAGTCTTACAAGGACTTTTCTCCCAGGGCTGGCTTTAAACCATGATCTTAAGAGCTCAGCTTCCTGAGTTGCTAGGATTACAGGCATGACCCACTATATTATAGTATGCTTACCACATAAACTTTCTAAAATCTAAACATTTTAAACTTGTGAAATAGTCTAAGTTCTATAATTCCAGATAAACTATTGGAAACCCTTTTCTTCCTTCCTTCCTTCCTTCCTTCCTTTCTTTCTTTCTTTCTTTCTCTTTCTTTCTCTCTTTTTCTCTCCTTCCTTTCTCTCTTTCCTTTCTTTCTCTCCCTCCCTCCTTCTTTCCTTTCTTTCTTTCTTTCTTTCTTTCTTTCTTTCTTCCTTTCTTTCTTTCCTTCCTCGTCCCTGCCTCTCTCCTTCCCTCCCTCCCTCCCTCCTTCCTTCCTTCCTTCCTTCCTTTCTTCTTTCCTTCCTTCCTTCCTTCCTTCCTTTCCTTGAGTTTGCATGCAAGGCTAACACTCACTACTGTATTAGTCATAACTCCACTTAAGGCTTTTTTAATGATTAGTTGGAGATAAGAATCTCATGGACTTTCTGCTCAGGCAGGCTTTGAACCACATCCTCATATCTCAGCCTCCTGAGTAGATTGGATAATGAGAGTAAGCCATTGGTACCTGGCTTGGAAAACTGCATTAAAATGATGTTCTTGGTGAATTAATGTCATTTATATGAAAGAATGGTCTAATTTTCTTAGTTTTATCTATAAAATTATTTGTAAAATTATTATTACTTTATCATGAGACACAAATGAAATTTGTTTTAGGTTCCAACTTTAAGTATACTTTTCAAAAGTCCTATATCACATGCAGAACATTAGGTCTTTCTTGCCTTTTTTTTTGTTTTTTTAGGTCCGGTAGTGGGGCCTGAACTCTGGTCCTGGGCGCTGTCCCTCAGCTCTTCAGCTCAAGGCTAGTGCTCTACCACTTGAGCCAAAGCGCCACTTCTGGCTTTTTTCTTTTTGCTTATGTGGTGCTGAGGAATCGAACCCAGGGCCTCTGGCATGCAAGGCAAGTGCTCTACCACTGAGCCACCTTCTCAGCCCCTCTTGCCATTTTTTATATCTAAATAAAATAGTATATTATTGTATACCAGTGTCAAATTATTTTGAAATATTATACCTTAAAATATTCTAGTAACATGGGTCAATTTTTGTCTTGTCATGTAGGTTAATATGAACTTCCCCTGATTATACTAATTTCTTCCTCCTTTTCAGAAAACTGATTTACAAAAAATACCTTTTGCTAGTTAGCTAAAGATCACTTTTAGTAATTGAGTGTCCTAAGAAGATAATAGGATTATGTATCATTTTACCTATCTATTCCAGAGAAATATTGTGTTCTATCAGACCTTTTAATGATTCTAGCTGTTTGATTAGGTGGTCATATTTATACTATGGCATATTTATACTGCGCATATTTATACTGCATAAAAACTACCAGTTTTGTAGATACGGTTAATAGTGCAGAAAAAGGGGAAAATTCAAAACATGTGATCATTGACTTGGTCAATAACAATCATAGGTTTTCAGAAGTGTGTGTGTGTATGTGTGTACGCATACACATGTGCGTGAGAATGTGCACGTGTGCATGCGTGCTGATCCCTAGGCTTAAACTCAGGTCCTGGGCACTGTCGATGAGTTTTTGTGCTCAAGACGAGTGCTCTACCACTTGAGCTGCAGTTCTCTGGGGACAATGGAAGGTTTTAAAGTAATTCATGTACTTTGGTTTTTGTGCATAGATATCAATATGATGGATATCCTTACAACACCATCAATGGCTAAACCTAAACAAGATTATTCAAGAACCCCAGGACAAGTGTTATCTCTCATCAGTTCTTTGGGATTTGTAAGTACTTGATGAGAAAAAACTCATGTAACATACCATATAATGATCACCACTTAAAATTTAACGTTTCACTGGGCGCCGGTGGCTCATGCTATAATCCTAGCTACTCAGGAGGCTGAGATCTGAGGACTGCAGTTCAAAGCCTGCCTAGGCAGGAAAGTCTATGAGACTCTCATCTCCAATAAAACACCCCAAAATTGGAAGTGGCACTTTGGCTGAAGTGGTAGAGTGCTTGCTTTGAGCTGAAGAGCTCAGGCACATGGCCCAGGCCCAGAGTTCCAGCCCCACGACCGACAAAAAAAAAAAGTCTCCTTTAAAATGGCAAAAAAAAAAAATCTAAATTTAAATAATATCTAGATTTTATTTAAAAAATAAATTTTATTTTTCTAATTAAAAAAGGGTTTTAATCTTTCATTTAAAGTATTTTTATCTTTTTATTTTAAAAAAGATCTAGATTAAAATATCAAGTATGAGACCTCTCTACTTAGATGGTGTTACTATCTATTTTGGATGATACTTTTCTTAAATCTCATATTTGTTTTAAACTTTCACTTTCAATAGTTCACACCAAGTACAGAAAAAAGTCAAGAGGCTACAGCCCATCAATTTGAAACATCAGAACTTTCTCAAGGATTAATTTGTCCTATGTCTATAGATCAAAAAGAGATTACTCCTTGTTCTAGCAAAGAACTAAACTCATGTGAGTATAAATGAAAATTTTTATTGTATTGTGTACTTGAAAGAACAAAAAGTCTCAAAATTCTAAATTTCATTTGGCAGTTTAATAATTTTAAAGTGTAATTGTTGGGGCTAGGAAGGTGGCTCACTGGTAGAGCTCTTGCCTTGCATGCATGAAGCCCTGGGTTCGATTCCTCAGCACCACATAAGCAAAAAGAAAAAAGCCAGAAGTGGCGCTTTGGCTCAAGTGGTAGAGCACCAGCCTTGAGCTGAAGAGCTGAGGGACAGCGCCCAGGCCCAGAGTTCAGGCCCCACAACCAGAACCCCCGCCAAAAAAAAAATGTAATTGTTTGATCCTGCCATTTCTTTTTTATTTTTAATAAATTAACCCAGTTATTGTAGGGTAGGAATATCTCAGATGGTAGAGCTTTTACTGGTCTTTTAATTCCTTCAGTCTTCTAATGGCAGATTTGACTGTGATGGCAGAAGTGGTGGTGTAAGTCCAGGCATCACCAGCCAATGTTTTCATGCAGGAACCACAGTGCCAGATATCCACTGCTTGCCTCTTCATATTAGTCTTACTACAGAAGGAGCAGGTGTAGTTGGTGTGCTGGCTGATTTCAGATTTTTTCACCATCTTCCAGAGTGAAGCACCACAGCAGGTGCTATATTTACCGACAATGCCGACCTTCTTGGTGCGTTTGGCCATATTGCCACAACTCAGGTCCCAGCCCAAAAAGTTGATCCTGCCATTTCTTATAGAGATTGTGGCAGGTTTTTAAGCTGTAGAATAAAATATATTGCTAATGATATATTCCTCCAAATACCTATAATATTGTAATGATCATTGGGGAAAATTTCACTATTTTTGGTCTATGGAAAACATACATCTTTATAAATTGATTTCCAAAAGTTTACACGGTCATTTAAATTTTAAAACTCAATTTTTTTTTTTTGTTTTCATTTGATTGGTTCAGTTTGATTTGGCATTTTTTTTATAGTCTTGCCATATCACCCAAACTGATTTTGAACTTGTGATCTTCCTGTCCTGGGATTACAGGCATGAGCTATCATGCCAACCCTCAAAGGTGTGTGTGTGTGTGTGTGTGTGTGTGTGTGTGTACAGGCATGAGCTATCATGCCAACCCTCAAAGGTGTGTGTGTGTGTGTGTGTGTGTGTGTGTGTGTGTGTGTGTGTGTGTGTGTGTGTGTTTGATAAAAGACCAGTTAGTGAGGAGGAAGATGAGAGAGATAATTTGAATTTATGTAGCACTTCACACTTTGTAACTTAGTGACAGTGGACAGTTTAGTTCTATGAAACCGTGTTCCTCTTCTTAGGAATATACTTAATGCCTTGAATGGTCAATGTAAGTTGTTCTCATAGACCTTGCCTTATTTTGATTTTGGACCTCAAGAAAGTTATATGTATTTAGGACATATATAGAATTAACAAGTGAGAAAACTCCAATACTTGAAAATATCTAGTTGCACCCTAATAATTGGATAAGCTAAGACTTGATTACAAATCTAATTATCCACTGAGCTTTTTCTCCAAATGTAGTCTTACTTCTTTTTTTCTTTCTTTTTTTTTTTTGTCAGTTGTGGATCTTGAACTCTGGGCCTGAGCTCAAGGCTAGCACTCTCCCACTTGAGCTACAGCGCCACTTCCAGTTTTCTAGTGGTTTATTGGAGATAAGAGTTTCAGGGACTTTCCTGCCCGGGCTGGCTTTGAATTGCGATCCTCAGATCTCAGCCTCCTGAGTAGCTAGGATTATAGGCGTGAGCCACGAGCGCCCAGCTGTAGTCTTATTTCTTATATCAAAATTATATGCTAGGGGAAGTGGCGCTGTAGCTCAAGTGGTAGAGCGCTCGCCTTGAGCTGAAGAGCTGAGGGACAGCGTCCAGGCCCAGAGTTCAAGCCCCACGACCGACAAAAAAAAAATCAAAAAAAAAAACCATATGTATACTTTTGGGCTGGGAAGGTGGCTCAGTGGTAGAGCGCTTGCCTTGCATGCCTGAGGCCCTGGGTTCGATTCCTCAGCACCACATAAGCAAAAAAGAAAAAAGCCGGAAGTGGCGCTGTGACTCAAGTGGAAGAGCGCTAGCCTTGAGCTGAAGAGCTGAGGGACAGCGCCCAGGCCCAGAGTTCAGGCCCCACAACTGGACCCAAAAAAAAAAATTATATGCTAGGGCTGGGAAAGTGGCTCAGTGGTAGAGTGCTTGCCTCGCATGCATGAGGTCCTAGGTTCAATTCATCAGCACCACATAAGCAGAAAAAGCTGGAAGTTGCGCTGTAGCTCAAGTGATAAGAGTGCTAGCCTGAGCTGAAGAGCTGGGGGACACCGCCCAGACCCATAGTTCAGGTACCCCGACTCGCCAAAAAAAAAAAAAAATTATATGCCAAAAGCTGAAACATAGTGGTACCTACCATCTGGCACTAGGGAGGCTGAGGCAGGAGGATTGTGAGTCTGGGTTATGTAGCAAGACCCTATGTCCAAACAAAATAAATTCCTGAAAAAGATACCTATAGCTTTGATAAACAGAAAACTGTTGATATACAAACTATGCATATATCGCTTATAGCCTTTTTCTGCTTTAGTTTTGCTTAGTCTTATTAGAACGAGCTAGGTACAAGGCACTGTGGTGGTCATCTGGGTGCATAGAAAAATGACATACCCTAGGTTAAATTCCAAGCCCCAAAACAAAAACAAAAGAACAAAAAGAATTTATATACAATTGTCTTTACTAAAAGCTCAATTATCTTTTGTCCAATTACAGATTAAGGAATGGCTATTTTTAGTATTATTTTTATGATAAAGGTGCAAGTGTCATATAAATAGTGCTGCTTTATAGTACTGCATTGATACCTAATTTACCATTACCATTTGTTTTATCCAGTCAAAGTGAGAAAATTCTTTATACAGGGATAGGCATGTAGCATATTAGTAGAGTATTTGCCTTTCATGTACAAAGCTGCGGGTTCAATCTCCAACACTGCCCCTAAAAGAAAGGAAATGTCTTCTGTCTACAGTTTGTAGTACTTTGGGAGCATAAATACAAGCTTCTAGTAAAGCTATAGTTTTAGATTACCAGTTGAGCTGAATAAATTTTGTATCATTTTAACCTTACATAATATCTTGTATATGGTACATCAGTAATGTCTTTCATCAAGAATAGCTTTAGACAGGGAAGGTGGCTCAGTGGTAGAGTGCTTGCCTTGCATGCATGAGGCCCTGGGTTTGATTCCTCAGCACCACATAAGCAGAAAAGGCCAGAAGTGGTGCTGTGGCTCAAGTGGTTGAGCGCTAGCCTTGAGCTGAAGAGCTTAGGGACAGTGCCCAAGCCCAGAGTTCAGACCCCATGACTGGCAAAAAAATAAATAAATAAAAAATGAATAAATAAATAAAAAGAATAGCTTCAAGTTGGTTCATAAATAATTCATAGTTGATTTCCTTTTAATTGTAAATTAATTCCCTTATCCTGATTTTTACTTTTAAATTTAAAGGATTTTTTTTATAATATTCACAGCAGTACTTATATTTGTAACAATTTATGAATCTAAACATAATGAAAATAATTCTAGAAACACTTGCAACTGTCCGAATGGTCAGACCTTGTTTAGAAAGCAATCATTCTGATATGTTGTACATATTGTGTAAGGAATTAAGAAAGCTTTAACATGATTCAATATTTGCTTTCCTACAGGTCTTGAAACACTTACTTCCAACCCAGGAGTGCCTGTGAAATGTTTAACTTCTAATCTGCTCCAGTCTAGGAAAAGGCTGGGGACATCTAGTGCCAGTAGCCAGTCCCACACCTTTGTGTCCAGTGTGGAATCAGAATGTCACAGCAGTCCCAAGTGGGAAAATGACAGCCAGGTTAGAAGGCAATTATTTTAACCCCAAACCAATATGCTTTTCAAGTTAATGATAGAAATATCATGCCTTTTTATGCAAATTCTATAATAGTTTCATGAATGATAGTCGAGATTTATCAGAAATCATTTATTTTCCTGGATATCTTGTTGAAGTATTTCATTTTTCATTATTATGATTAAGTAATTATAGCAAATTGATAGTAAATGTTTTTGGCCTCTAGACGTCTAGGTTTCCTTTTAATTCCCTACCATGATATAGACCTTACCTTGTTGAAATATTTTGTGTGTTTTTTATATATTATTTTAAAACTACTACCTTCTTCTATATTGGTTCCCACTAATTCTTTACTTAATGAAATGACAAATCTTCACAATTAACTTTTAGACCAAAGAATAGTAAGGTTGGGTACTTCAAAATGAATGGATTTATTTATAAGTAATTTAATTTATACATTATTTTTATTTTTGCCTTTTATTATTGAAGTTATCAAAGCTAATAGTTATAAAAGATGATACAAACTAAAATGTAAAATTATATTGTCTCCTTCATTGGACGTTGATAAAACTTTTTTTGGGGGGAGGGGGTTCGTCGTGGGGCTTGAGCGCTGTCCCTGCACTCTTCAGCTCAAAATGAGCCACAGGGCCACTTCTGGTTTTCTAGTGGTTTATTGGAGATAAGAGTCTCACAGACTTTTTTTCTTTTTCTTTTTTTTTGGGGTCCGGTCGTGGGGCCTGAACTCTGGGCCTGGGCGCTGTCCCTCAGGTCTTCAGCTCAAGGCTAGCGCTCTACCACTGGAGCCACAGCACCACTTCTGGCTTTTTTTTTCTGTTTTGCTTATGTGGTGCTGAGGAATCGAACCCAGGGCCTCATACATGCAAGGCAAACGCTCTACCACTGAGCCACCTTCCCAGCCCTCTCACAGACTTTCCTACCCAGGCTGGCTTTGAACTTTGATCCTCAGATCTCAGCCTCTTGAGTGGCTAGGATTACAGGCATGAGCCACCAGCACCCAGCTAAACATTTTTCTTTTTGGGGGGTGGGGGCCTGAACTCTGGGCCTGGGCGCTGTCCCTCAGCTCTTCTAGCTAAACATTCTTGTTAGAATAAACCTTCCATTTGATTAACTTGGATTATAGTTTCTTCTTATTCTCTGCACTCTGGTTTCTTCATTACTGTTGAATATTTGTTTCTGTAAGGGCAAATTAACTTTAGATAAACTAGATAAGAGCCAGGTGCTAGTGCCTCATGCCTGTAATCCTAGCTATTAAGGAGGCCGAAATCTGAGGATCATGGTTCAAAGCTAGCCCCGGTAGTCTAGCCCAGGTAGGAAAGACCATGAGACTCTTATCTCCAGAAAACCGGGAGTGGCACTATGGCTCAAGTGGTAGATTACTAGCCTTGAGCTGAAGAGCTGAGGGACAGCGACCAGGCCTAGAGTTCAAGCCCCACAACTGACCAAACAACAAAACAAAAAAAACCCCTAGATAAAGTAGTGCTTCTAAATCCTTTTTCTCCCTTTTTAAGCTATGATATGAATAACATATGCTGTAAGATGGGCTGGGAAGGTGGCTCAGTGGTAGAGCACTTGCCTTGCATGCATGAGGCCCTAGGTTCGATTCCTCAACACCACATAAGAAAAAAGCAGGAAGTGGCGCTGTTGCTCAAGTGGTAGAGCACTAGCCTTGAGCTGAAGAGCTGAGGGACAGCGCCCAGGCCCAGAGTTCAGGCCCCAGGACCGGACCCAAAAAAAAAAAAAAACATATGCTGTAAGATAGATTATAAACTTCCGTTCATAGTATTTCATCCCTTATATTCTAAAAAGCATAGCATATCATATATTATTTCAAACTA